TGGTGTACGAATAATACATCTTCAAGTATCAGCTCAGGACTGATTTTCACAGTTGCCTTGAAGTGTACATAAATTTGTTTACGAATGAGCAATGTAATGTATGCATTCAACACGTAGAAATGAGATTTGGTGAAACAAATGTGAGTTGTTGCTCATAAATCCACCACCGAATTGAGTATTGGGTTAAGGGAAATGGAGAAACAGATACCTAATGTGTGACCACAGTCAACCTCATCTTCAGTATTCATCTTTGCTGAAGTAAGATGGGTGCTCAGCACGTTCATCAAGTGTTGATACTGCTCAGTATTAAGAGTCTTCATAAAGTGTCCTACCTCTCCATGTGTATGCTCTGGGGTGGACTCGAACACTTGATTCACAGCAACTTGATTCATGTGAATGTCAGGATCAGGTTTTTGCTTGGCCTTATACCCAGGTGGATAATCGTGTAACTTGTAACATTTTGTCAATAGAATGGCCACTATATCTACAGTAAGTACAAATCGGTCTCTCCTTCTTCTGGTGTTTAGTATAAGACTGCCTAGTAGCATATTTTCTAGCATCATTTCTGACATAGAACGCCATAGGATCAGATGATCTAACAGCAGTATTGACGCTTCTTTGATGTTCTTCTTGTGACACTGTAGCAAACACCTTATTTATAAGATGGATGAGATCCATCAACAATAGTTGACCTCTGACTTGAACAAATGAATCGTTTAACCCCATTAGAAATGACATAACATACTTCACGTGATAGTGATCAATTAGCCTTTTGATACCCTGATATTTGCATTTTGCATAAGTGAAAGCATGTCTATAATTACTTAATTCCTCGCAAATGGTTTTCAATCTTGTGAAATACACTCTCGTAGAAGACTATCCCTGATTGAGGTTCATCAAATCCCGCCCATTTCTTTGCTAATACCTCTCCTTGAGATCTACCTTTATCTCATATTCAGACTCAACATATATTATGCCAAGTGAGATTTCCTTAGAAACTGAGTTAAGGATCCATGATATCACAATATTATTATTGCGAATCCAGGATTTCAACAGCTCATTATTACCTTCTGGTCAAGGTGTAGATCCATCAATAAAGCCTACCTTGTATATCACCGATGAAGCATAGTTGTCTATTGTTAATGGTTGTGAGACAAGAATTAGTCCAGGACCATCCGAGTGGTGTAGGTAATTAGGGTTAGAACCATCATCAATGGCGGAATAACTTATTGATGTGGAATTGTTTGATTGATTTTGATCAACAGCTTCATTTGCCGTGATGTTATTCAGAATGTTGTGATAAAGAAGAAGAATAAAAGTAACAGAGATGAAGAGTATATCAATGCTTTAATACCATATTGAGAGAAAATGGAAAGAATGTGATTAATAAATATTATTCGATACAAATGAACTTTACATTATGGTATAATAGACAACAAGCTAACTAATTGTATACAAGAACCAATAAAAATTCGACACGTGGATTACCTACCACAATCACCCTAATAGCAACTGCATTTAACTAACTTCCAGTTGTGCCTCGTAACTAATTTTAGCTGCCTCCTAGCTGCTTCCAGCTTGTTGCGATTCCACACATTCTGTTAAATAAAAAAAATCTTGAATTTGTGTATGAAATTATTTTATAGGAGAATGTGTGGTAATTATAATTACAATTACAATTCCACACATTCTTCATTTGAAATTATTTATAAGAAAAAAATATTTTTATATTTTCAAATTACAATTACAATTTAAATTATAATATAAATGAAGAACTAGGGGACGAGAGATTATGTTTTCTGTCCCCACCCTAAAGGATCGGGGTAAGATCAGGCACATTGTCATCCCTACAATACAGGTAGTACTGTAGCAATTCTATACAATTTTTTTACTCGGTTCTAATTTTTAAATTCTAAATAAGCGAAATGTCTTGCAAGTTGTTACCTATATTGTCAAGAATCATAATTATAAATTGTACATTTTTCGGCCTTTTCACTTGCTCCACTCCGACGAGAATCTTTAATAATTTTGATATTGTGTTCATGTGTAGATGAATTACTGTCGGACACTTCTATATGATATTTGCAACTTGTGACAAATTTCATTTGCCTTTGATATAAATATGGAACAAAACTGAATTTCCACTAATTGCTGAGAATAAGAACGCTTAGGTGCATTTCTAATGGTATTTGGCGAGGGTCGAGTAATTTTACAAAGGCGTGAAAACATTGTTCTTCGTAGTTATTTCACGAGTCCATTGATTTGAAAAGCTTAACGATTTAAGCTGTAAAAATGTTGAAAGATAGGCGGCACAAGAAGGGCATGTGACACCCTCATGTAATTTGTTATCTCGATGTTCATTTTCTGGTTCTAGATGATCGAGAGAGATAAATATTCAAGGTTAAAATATCTATCGTAAAAGAAAAATGGAGTATCTTATTCGAACTCTAGGATGGCTAGAATAACAACATACCAGACAAATCCATTGTATGTATTACTAAGGAACTCAAAACGATGGTCCGGCAAAAACCAAAAGTGGAGCAGAGAAGTTGAATTCAAATGTATGTCTTAAAGTAGTTGATAACTCCATGGTCAGGGGGTCACAAGTGGTTAAAAATTGGAGAAAAAAAATTATATTGGCATATTTTAATTACTATTACACTTATTCACCGTTGGAAGATGAGATTATAGTTCTTCGTATTGGTTCACATTGTGCCAACAATACGGTTTGAGAAAAAGTTGGGCTAAATCTCATTAAAAGCCAATGATGAGTGCAATACGTACTCTAAAAAATTTACCATTAGTAAAAAAAATTGGGAGGTATACTTAACCTATGTACGGCGAAAATGAGATATTGCGACAGATTGATTGACAAACATACATTATAAAGAGAGAAGCCAAACCCACGTTGTGTTTAGGTAAGTTGGCCTAAAAACTTTTACCTAACTCAAATCTACTTTTCTTGACTTTTTTAATCATGCGGTTACGATTAGAAACATTTTTGGTTTGCAAATTAAAAAAATATATATAGACCGATAGATTGATTATAAAAGTCAACGAATACAATTTGAGCAGAAGCATATTGCCACAGTGGAAGACGAATTCTCAAGGTGTACGCGATGCAACTATCAAAAACAGTGGCGTAGCAACAATCAGGTAAAAACTCAACCACGATCATGCAATAAATGAGCTATTTGAAGGCTAAAAAAAATATTATATATTGTAAATTTTAAATATACTATGCAGAAAATTATTTCTAAATATGAAAACGTTTACATGTTTAATGTCAAAAGTATAATGTTATCCAACACCAACGGTGTAAAAACACCAGTTATATGGTAATGTGTGATAAGTCAATTAAACATGAACTTATGATTCATTTAAGGTAATCCGTAATTTAATGTCATTAATACTATCATTAGTGATGCTAAATAATTAAAACGCTAGGTTCCCTAAAAGGTTAATTTCACAAATGGTCACTGAAATTACAGCAAAATTTCAAAATGATCACTAAAATTCAAAACTTGCATAAACGGTTACTCAACTTACACTCACTTTCAAAAATGGTCATTGAGCAAAATTAATGGACTTCTTTGTTCTAATTGAAACTTAAATTAACAAAACAAGACCCCTGCAAAATTAGAGGACTTGAAGTGCGATTTTGCCCTTTTTCATCAAAAAGACATCCTTTGTCTTTGATCCTCGATGAAAAATTTCAAATACCAGACATAATTTTGCCATTGCACCAATCTGCAACATTTCTTGTAAAATTCCATGAGTTGCTGAGAACTTCGATATCGAATGTAGAATTCTTATACCGCTCTCATTTGTTGTAGATGAAACCCTAAGAATCTTCTTTGAAACAATGGCTAATCCTGCACTGTTATTCAACAGTTCAGCTCTTCCCTCAGTTCATTGGCATAGCAAATTCAGCACCACAAGCATCAATTCAGAAGCCCTTTTGTCAGAATAATCGAGTAAAAGGTCAATCTACTAAGGCACTACTCTAGCTTCCACTGCATTGATTCATCAAAATTGGCAGACCTGATTTTTTTCGCAAACTCCCTGAATTTCTCCCGCAAATTCGACAACTTAAGGAAGAAATTGACCAAGCCCCAAACCTGGGCTAGGTGCACCAGGTGCAGAGGGACCTAGCCCAGGTGGTCCTCGACCGTTGGTGTCCCTGCCGTCGCCGGACTTGGAGTTGTTCGCTGGCTGTGTCGCGAGCATCGACCAGTGAAATTTCTTGGTTGTAATTGACATTTTTTGCTGTTGTTTGTAATGAATTGTTGGCATGGGTGTGGTCACCTGGTGAAGGGCAGTTGGCTGGAGGTGGGCTCCGACCATGGGGGTAGCCAGAAGCATGATTCCAGACGATTTTCAGTTTGAAGGTAGTGAACTTTGCACACAGATTTCGGCTTCTGTAGTTATTAGAATTAGGTGATGTTTGGTGGTATGTGAAGTTGGAGTTGAGGGCTGTCAATCGGTGGTAATGTCCGGCAACTTTGGTGGCCGGAGCTCGCCGGAGTTGGGATGCCTTTTTGGTGAAAAAGGGCAAAATCGCACTTCAGGTCCTCCAATTTTGCAGGGGCCTTGATTTGTTAATTTAGGTTTCAATTAGAACAAAGAAGATCCTTAAGTTTGCTCAGTGACCATTTTTCAAAGTGAGTGTAAGTTGAGTGACCATTTATGTAAGTTTCGAACTTCAATGACCATTTTAAAACTTTGTTGTAACTTCAGTGACCATTTGTGAAATTAACCCGTTCCCTAAATAGGCACTCAAGCCCACTTTAAATTAACCAAAAATACACGCACTAAAAGGGCAAAAAAAAAATGTGCGCGTTTGTGTGTCAATTATTATAACCTAATGTTGATTAGGTTAATTTTATGATGAAGATTGGTTTTCTTGGAGTAACAGTCACGAAGTGGAAACATTCTCATTCAGAGAGTTTTTCAATGGGAGTTCAATCACAAGGTCACCCATAATATATAAAGAGTACATGGATTTCATAATTTCGAAGTATAGAGAGGACCCTTTAAGGAAACTGACATTTACTAAGGTTCGAAAGTCATTCTCCATAAAGTATTTACCTTTTTAGAAAAATGAGGCCTCATTAATTTTGATGTTAAAAGTGATAATGAAGGTGATACTTGTAATGGGAATGGTAGACCGATTTCGTATGGGGTGAGGAGGAGGAGAGTAGGAAGGGTAGGGTGAAAGTTGAAGAAGGGGCCCCATATGGGGTGAGAGTGGTGGTGGCTCCAAATTCGATGAAGCCTGTTGCACAGCTGCCCCCGCTCCCATCTTTCATCACTGATAGTGGTAGAGGTGTTGGGGAGGTTGGGCAGAACGGGTTCAAGTGGCCACCGTTGGCATCTTACTCAAGACATTTTTGAGGATTTGGGGCAGCAGGAGAAGAAGAACGGGATGGTGTGTGGGAGTTGTAAAGAAAACTGTGGTTCAGTGCACTACAAGTACACAAAGGTAACTTATAATCCATTTCACTGTGAACGTAGTATGTTGTTTATCATTCCTGCTTTCAATATTTTAGTGCAGAAGTCGAAGCATGATTCTTTTTAGCTAGATCGATTGATATGAATCACCAGTTCTTATTTATATGATGAGAAGTGTCTGTATCTGCCGTAAAAAAGAATATCGTTTGTTAAGGTTAAATACGCATTTGGTAAAACTCACCATTGTACTAACTTAAAATTGAGGATATCTTGGTTCTGTTTAAGAATTGCTGGATAATGATTACTAATGGAAATAATATGACATCCTGAGCGGAGAGAGGAAGAGTCATGTTGAAAGCACTAAATAGAAAATATTCCTATCAAGGTATATATTCATTTGGAGAATTGCACTTCAGATGAACTTGTCCGCTCCATACTTATGTGAAGAACTCTGTTACCTATAGTTGTGATTGAGCAGATTATTAGGTGGAAGTTCACCTAATAATGGCATTACCCTTCTAGTCACTTATATGCAAACACCCACCCACCACCACCCCCAACAATTCAGGGCGTAACAAATAAAGCAATACATTCTCCAAAAAAAAAAAAAAAAATGCTAACATCATCTAACAAACAATCTGAAGACCCTAAGTGATGACACATTCATGTTCGGTTGTTCGCTATTAGACATTAAGAAACAATGTTTGAGAAGTATGTATCGAGAGAGCTCATTCCAGCATTGGACATTTCTGTAAATTAGTTACAACTTTAGGTTTTTATAAAAATAGTCACTGTTGAATGTTAACATCTGTAGAAGATTTTTGAGATTGGTATTTATAAAAATGGTTTTGGATTTAAGTTTCCAAAACAGAAAAGCTGCCATATTAATTGTGGGGAATAAGTGAGGCCACCAGTGATAAAATGACAAAGGGCAGAACTTTCATCTTGCAAGCAGGAAAAGTGAATTCACTATGCATTTGTATGCCGACCGCAAGAGCATAACTTGGCAATCCAATTTGAGGAACACGTGGCAAATAATATAGCGTTTTAATACATTTACACATCAAAGCCCCCTAAAACGGTTTAAGCAAGTGGAGTCTTGGTTTTAGCATCAGTTATGGTCAAAAGATGGAATTAAGTAACGTGGTGTTCGGCAGCCAGGTGAAAGGTATAAGAGCTCTTTTTTCAAATTTTAACGGTCCTTCACAGTAATTTATTTCAAGGTTGGATACTTATATTGGCAGATCTTACCCCTTGGACTTTGTTTTGAAGGAAAACATATAAAAGGAAATGAAAATAGAAGGAAAATCTTGGCAGTTATAAATAGTATTTCTTTGTTACATGAATAATGTTTATGTTAAGAACAATCAGCTTAGTAAAATTGTTTTATATATTATTTCTATGTAAAGTCAGCCTCGTAAAGAATCAAAGGCACAGACCTCTGACTCTGGCATGCATTGTCTTCTTTCCTACAACTATCAATTGGTTTCATTATGTAATTGACAGTGTGTGTAGATTTGGAGCCTTCAATATGCCATTTGGCACTAGAGTATATTTGACATTAATCCTTTTAAAGATACTCTGGAGGTAGAAGAATAAATAGATATTTCTTATTTTCATGGCTTCCATACAATTCTATGCATTAATTTTCTTGAAATTTAGTAAGTTTATTTCCTTTTTCTTGTCATATATCAGGAAGGGAGCTTTATTCTTTGTGAGAAGTGCTTCAAAACTGGTAACTACGAGAAGAAAAAACCAGCAGATGATTTCATGTTAATAAACAGTGGAAATCAAAGCAGTGTCTGGACAGAAGCAGAAATTTTACTTCTTTTAGAATCTGTTTTGAAGCAAGGAGATGACTGGGATCTTGTTGCTCAGGATGTTCAGACAAAAAGTAAACTGGATTGTATATCAAAGCTAATGGAGCTTCCTTTTGGAGATCTCATGTTGAGGTCAGCCCACAAAAAGCGTAAATTTTTGGATGTAACTGGTGATGTAAGTATTTTGAAAGAGGCACAACTTACTTTTAATGAATCTCAAGAATCTGTGGAAGTAGAGGATCCAAGCCACGATCTTAAGGATGACGACCCCCTGAATAGATATGCCGACAATTGAAGTCAACCTCCAAAAAGAATATGCACAGAACCAACTTCAAATACCAGTTATTTGATGAACCAGGTGTTTATTTTAGTCTTTCTGCTTCAGTATACTTCTGAGTGATGTCTCAATAAATTTATTATTCAGTTGCAAGGATTCGATTGATGATAACTTGGAAGCCTTGTGTAAACCATTGCAAATGAAATAAACTTCTTTGGGATGCTTGTGAATTTTAGTCCTTTTTTCTCTCTTGCGACTATTGGAAATCCACCGAATCTCATTTGAAGTATCTATGGACAAATACAATTCACTTAATTAACAAATTTTCAGGGAGAAAAATAGGTGTGAAATATGTCTGATGGTCTACAATGTGTTATTCCACATTCAATTATCTAAAGTGATATCATCTGAAGCTCAATATGTCATAAATTTTTGGCATTATAATCAGCAACTTTGATTTACTCTATTAGGTAGCTTGCATATCTACCACGGTTGGGCCTCATGTCATAGCTTCTGCGGCTGAGGCTGCTGTTACAGCTTTTTGTTATGAAAACCAATGTTCGAGGGAAATAGTCAACGAGGATGATATTTTTGTTGATCTAAAAGCTTCCACTGAAAATACTGAGCAAAAGAGGTATTCATTTAATCATTTATGAAATCTTGTCTGCTGAATATGTTTTTGTCATTGAAATGCTAAAGTTGGAACAAACTGTTTCTCTATCAGAGCAGCTCGGGGCAATCTTTTACAAGGCTGGCCCTGGCCCAAGGCAGGCAACGCCACTGCATTGGGCCTCAAATTTTTCAGGTGCCTCTAAATAAATAAATAAAAAGCCCAAAACCCACCCAAATCCAAAACCCTCAAATTCCTTTTAAAAGAACAAATGAGTAGAGACCACAGAAGAATGAAACAAACTGTTTTTATTTTCTGATCATCTTCACCAAAAAATTCTCTCTATCCCCCACACGACAATTGACGATTCATATTTTTCATTAAACCCTTGTTGAAAATCTGAATTACCCATTATCTTTTGATTCTTTTTGTCAATCTCGATTTGTAATTTCACTGGACATTGATCGAGTTCATTTTGCAAGAACATGTTAACATCTGAATTTGCTTTGCCTGAACGTGAGGGCCAAGGATTGAGGGAGCACGACTTAATTTTCCACCGGAGAAGTTCAACATATTTTTTAATTTTTCTTCAATAATTTCTCAGAATGTTCAAGAAAATATAAATTCCTCTTTAATATTTTTCGATGTTCTGAAGATGTCACGATGGGTTCATAATTTATAATTACTAATTTAATAAGTGAAATCAATTAATTGTGAAGAGATTAATTGGACAGTGAACAATTCTCGGTCATATGTTCTATTTATCTGTTATGAATCGTATTTTGTTTCTTTGCTTATTTGCTTATTTGCTTGTTCATTTGATTTCTTAACAACTACAGATGACTGTGAATCTTTGAGTTGAATTCCTTGAATTGAACCTACTAATGAAATTGAATGTTTACTACCCTTTGACTCTCTTAAACCATATGTGACCATATTTGACGTAAATGCAAAAATGATGCTAATATACTCTGTGTTCTATTGCAATTAAAATTTAACGATGATCGAGTAGAACAACGCTTAACGCTCTCATGTCTGTTTATTGGTTTCCTTGTATCTGATGCGATCAGATAATGCAATTCCCGAATCCCATTTTGTTATTCTAGTAAAACTTCATTTTTTATGATTATTTGTGCTATTCTCCATCAATGTCAGTCTTTGGTTGTTCTTGATATCAAAGATATTGATTGTGTTTTAGGTCAACAAAGTTATTGATTCTTTATATAAATATTAGCTGGGATACATTTAGCATCAATCATTATTTTAGGGGAAATTTGATTCACTTTCTTTCTTTGTCATCTAGATTTTGTTTAAATTTTACAACCCAAATTCTGACTCAAAATGCCATCTTTATGGCAGAAATGGCACTTAACGCTCTTATGTTTCCCTTTTGTGGATTTCATCTTTAGAATATTCATTCAGATTGTGCATTTCCTTTTTGTGGCTATTTCGTGACTTCATTTTTTTTTAAAAATCTATTTCTAGTTTCTTGACGACTTATCGATTGAGCACAATGAGCCTTTTGAATTTTCAACGTATCCTTTATAGTCTTGTATGTAATTCATTTTCCCTCATTGCTATCCTAAATGCTGTTAACTAGCCATTGTTAACGTTTTTATACTGTAAGTATGGAGCATTTATGATTTATCCTACATATTTGCAGGTAGTTTATCATTGCTGAATCTTTTCTTTTTGGAGAAGCTTGGGAATTTTTAATTTATACACGTCAATCAAATTCTACTGCTCTTTGCTTATAACTATATCTACAAGAAAATTTGAATCTGAATGTACCAAAATAAAGAGAAAGAAATAACTTGAAAAGTTGATTAAATCTCAAGAGGGAGCACTTGATAAGTTTTTTTAGTAGTAATAAACGAACACATAACGAAGTCGTATTAATTTGAGAAGAGTTTAATAAGAATGATAACAGAAATAATACAATTGAAGAAAAACATTGTTTGATGAATGAAGATGTATCTACTGATAGAAATAATGAACCATTTTCCCATGACCTTATTGATCCAGCAAATTGAGGAAATATGAATATGAATTTAAGAGATTTTATTGTGAGGAAAGGTCCTACAAGAGAAAATGGTGTGATTTTTCCGAAAGATATAGCAAATTAACACTTCTCATCTACACACTACGTTCGATGATTACCTAATGGAGAGAAGCATTTGAAGAAAAACATTGTTTGATGAATAAATAGGTATCTACCGACAGAGATAATGAACCATTTTCCCATGGCTTTATTGATCCAACAAATTGGGGAAATATGAATACGAGTTTAAGAGATTTAATTGTGATGAGAGGTCTTCTAAGAGAAAAAGATGTGATTTTTCTGAAAGATGTAGCAAATCGACAAGTCTTATATACATATTATATTCGACGATTACCTAATGACAAGAAGTATGATAGAAAATGGTTGATATATTCAAAAAGTTTGGATAAAGTATTTTGCTATTGTTGTAAGCTATTCAAGAATGAAGGGATCAGAACTCAACTGGCACATGATGCAGTAAATGAATGGAAAAATATTGGTGAAAAAATTAGAATGCATGAAGTAAGTTGTGACCACATCAATAACATGAGTAGATGGATTGAAATGGAACTAAGATTTGCAAAGAGAGAAACCATTGATAAAAGTGTACAAGAACAAATTAATAGAGATCGAGAACATTGGAGACAAGTATTACTACGAATAATATCTGTGGTGAAAACTCTTGCTGAAAATAATTTAGCATTTCGTGGAGATAATGAGAAGATATACCAAGAAAATAATGGTATCTTTTTAAGCATAATTCAAATGATTGCTCAGTTTGATCCCGTAATGCAAGAGCATATTCGTCGAATCCAAAATAAAGAGATCCATTATCATTATTTAGGACACAAAATTCAGAATGAGATGATACTTATGCTAGCAGGTGAGATAAAAAAAATAATCATTAAGACACTCAAAAATTCTAAATACTTTTCTGTTATACTTGATTGCACTCCAGATACGAGTCACGATGAACAAATGTCGATAATATTGAGGTGTGTAGATATTTCAGCAAGTCCAGTGAAGGTTGAAGAATTCTTTTTAGGGTTTTTATTAGTGGATGATACATCTG